AAACCTTATTTTAAAACCATCAATTCATTCAGTCGTTGAATATTTAGTGTCCCTTGTGTGCAAGGAACTATGTTATGACCTTTGGGGGATACAAAGAACAAGAGATTTCCTGCTACCATAAACTCATGGATTTGTGTGTCAAAAAAGTATAATTACAGTACACAACAAAAATATATTGAGTATCTCACTGTCTCTAGAGCTAAACTGGGCAATGAACAAAGGAAAGTATATAAACCTGGCTGTACAAGATTGATGACAGGAAGAAACATTAAATATCAAAAATGAGGACTTTGAAGAGAAACACCATATATTACTCATCTTTATAACTACAGGACCTTGTATAAGTCAAATTTGTTTAAACAAAATATTAAACTAGTTACAGTTCAAGAGTAATTGCACAGAAGCAGAGGAATGTAATGGTAAGTACTAGATCTGTGGTGGCAACCAGTGAAAAATTGGGCAAAATTCCATAACCATCCAGGGCAAAGTGAGAATTTGTTGTTTTTGTTGTTGGTTCTAATTCTCTAGACTCTGCTAAAACTTTCAGAACTTCATTCAAATTTTAAAAAGTTTGTTCTTTAAAAGACACTCTTAAGAAAATGAAAAGGCTAGTCATGAACTGAGGGAAAACATTTGCAAAACATATTCTGCAAAGGACCTGTATTTAGAATATATAAAGAACTCTTATAATTAAAAAATAAGATAAACCAATACAAATCAGCAAAAGATATGTACAGACACTTTGTCAAGGATTACACAGAGATGGCAAATAAGCACAAGGAAAGATGCTTGGCATCATTAATCATTAGGGAAATGCTAATTAAAACAAGATACTACTATTATCACAATAAGAAGGCTAAATTAAAAAGACTGACTATGTATAACAAATTTTGGCAAGGATGTAGAGCAACTGAAGCTCTCACCACTGCTGATGGAAATGTAAAATGGTATAGCACCTTGGAAAACTGTTTGGAAGTTTCTTAAAAGTTAAACATAAACATATAATACAACCTATCATTCTCATTCCTAGGTACTTACCTAAGAGAAATGAATGCATATGTTCATACAAAGACTTGTACACAAATATGCATAGCATATTTTTTGCAACTGATAAACAGCAGAAACAAACCAAAATGGCATCAACAGATAAATAAATGGTGCACAGTCATACATTAAAATATTACTCAGTAATTTAAAAAGAACATGGATGAATCTAAAAATAATTATGCTGAGTGAGAAAAGCCATACCAAAAACAGTACCTAAAGTATAATCACATTCATATGGATTTCTAGCAAATTTTCTATCTATAGTGACAGAAGATCTATAGTTTTGAGAAGCAGGATCACAAAGGGACACCAGGAAACTACTGGGATTATGAATGTTCGTTATCTTGGTTCCATGGGTGTATACGTATGGCAAAACTTATCAAGTTGAATACTTTAAATAGATGCAGTTTTTATTTTTTAATTTTAATTTCTGTGGATACATAGAGGGGTATATATCTATGGAATACATGAGACACTCTGATGTAGGCACACAATGGTATAATAACCACATCAGGGTAAATGTGGTACCCATCACCTCAAGCATTTATCGTTTGTGTTATAAACAACCCAATTATACTTTTAAAGGTATTTTTCAACATTTAATTAAATTATTATTGAGTAGAGTCACCCTGCTGTGCTATTAAATAGCAGATCTTACTCATTCTTTCTATTGTGTTGTACCCATTAACCATTCCTACTTCCCCCTCAACTATCCTTCCCAGACTCTGCTAACCATCATTCTACTCCGTCTCCATGAGTTTAATTATTTTAATTTTTAGCTCTCACAAATAACTGAGAACTTGTAAAGTTTGTCTTGCTGTGCTTGGCTTAACACGATGATTTCCGATGCCATCTATGTTGTTTGCAAATAACAGAATCTCATTCTTTATGAGTGTATGTATCACATTTTCTTTATCCATTCATGAAGTGTCCATGCTGATGAACACTTAAATTGCTTCCAAATCTTGGCTATTGTGAAGAATGCTGCAGTAAACATAGGAGTGCAGATATCCGTTCAATATGCTGATTTTCTTTCTTTTGGATATACACCTAGCAGTGGGATTGCCAGATGGTATGGCAGCTCTATTTTTAATTCTTTTTAGGAGCCTCCGAATTGTTCTCCATGGAAGCTGTACTAATTTACATCACCACCAACAACATACAAGGATTCTGTTTTCTCCACATCCTCACCAGCATTTGATATTGCCCATCAGTTGGATAAAGCCATTTATCTGGGGTGAGACGACATCTCATTGCAGTTTTGATTTGCATTTCTCTGATGATCAGTGATACTGAGCACCTCTCATATACCTGTTTGCCATTTGTTTGAATTCTTTTGAGCAGTGTCTATTCAGAACTTTTGTCCATTTCAAAATCAGATTACTAGATATTTTTCTTATAAAGTTGTTGGAGCTCCTTCTATATTCTGGTTATTAACCTCTTGTCAGTTGGATAATTTGCAAATATTTTGTCCCATTTTGTGAATTGTCTCTTCAGTCTATTAACTGTTTTCTTTGCTGTGCAGAAGCTTTTTATCTTGATGTGGTCTCTATACGTAGTTTCTTGTATGTCAATTACACTTGCTATAAAAACTTTCAGAAATTATTTTAACTATTAGAATACATTAAGTTTGGGTAAGATAGATGGAAGGATATTCTGAGCTACAGAATGATTCATTTATATAAATCAAAAAGCAATCAAGTTAAAAATAAACTGATCTTTGTTTATAAGGTAATTTCTGAGCAAACTCCTTATGTTATTAGAAAGAAAATAAAAAGGTGACTATAAAAATAATCTAAATTATAACACTTATTCTAACTTCCATTCCTAACACTGTTCTGGGGATATGTGCCTGTGTCTGTGTATGTGTATACATGTACCTGGTGAGAGGGTGAGGAGTGAAGAATGAGAGAGTAGTACTAATAAGCTTATCAATAATTGTCCCCACAACATGCAACTGTATTGGATTCTTTTGAGTACTTAAAAAACAACAGCAGCAATGACATAAATGAGTGTTTATAAATACATACCTTCAGTGACCCTACAACCTACTGATTTCCATTTCAAGCTATATACCCTAACAGAGAAATTATTATACCTCTAAAGCAACATTGTTCATAATAATAAAATATTGTCGACAAAAGCAAAAATCCACCAGTAGAATTAACAAATAAATTGTGGCATAGTCATAGAATAGTATACTAACTAGCAATGGAGAGGATTAAACCAGAGCTACACATACCTTTAGGAATGAATCTCACAAACACGGTGGTGAGCTTTTACTCCACAATGAATGCGCACAATATGACTGCCTTATATAAAGTTCAGTATCAGACAACACTAAACAATAGTTATGAGGTAATTAATTTACACAGTAAAACTGTAAAACTAAATAAAAATGTAAGAATACTCATCATTAAAATCAAGTACAGATTATCTATTTTAACACAGAGGATGTGAAAAAGGGGATGTGACTGGGATGGGGCAAAAGTAATTCTTCTAGCTCTAATTCTTAATATGAGCTGTAGTTACATGAATCTTTACTACTGTAGTTAAAATAACATATTTGTTTATATTTTTTCATTATATTTCAAAATAACCAAAATGATACTTCAGAAATCCCCACTCTTGAATCACTATTTGTTGTATAGCCGTCCTCTATGTATTTAGTACTTTGCTAACATAAGACACATAGAAAGCACTAACTCTCTACGAGTTGGCAAGAATACCAAAAGAAATGAGAATTATGTGACATTCATTAGCAAACACATCCATTTCCAGTGTGAACAGAAATCACATGGACTTCTCTTCTCAACCATTCAGCTAACTTTCCTATAGAGGCTATAGGAGATTATTCAAGAGTTACTGATATGGTTTGGCCATGTCCCCACCCAAATATCATTTTGAATTGTAGCTCCCATATTTCCCTCATGTTGTGGGAGGGACCCAATGGGAGATAACTGAATCATGGGGGCAGTTTGCCCCATGTTGTTCTCATGACAGTGAATAAATCTCATGAGATCTGACGGTTTTATAAAGGAGTTACCCTGCACAAGACAATCTCTCATATTTCGACTGCCACCATCCATGTAAGACATGATTTTGCTCCTCCTTGCCTTCCACCATGACTGTGAGGCCTCCCCAGCCAATGTGGAACTGTAAGTCAATTAAATCTTTTTCCTTACTAAATTACCCAGTCTCTGGTATGTCTTTATCAGCAGCATGAAAATGGGCTAATAGAGTTACAGTGTATAATGTGAAAGTCAGGATGTTCCTTGAAGTGAAAGTTTTACAGTTCTTGTTTTTTTTTACTTATAACCTAAGAGTAGTCCTAATGGAAGCAAATCTGTGAAATACACAATAAAACAGTTGAGAAGCATGTGCTTATACACAAGGTATGCTCAACATATAAACTTTTAATTATTTATTTAAGGTACACTGTATGTGTTCTCACTCTCACATCCTTCTCCCTAAATTCACTATCTCACAGCCACTTAGATCTAAACATTTTATCTAATATATATTAAGAAAAATTTCAAACAAAAAAGATGTGAAAGTTTTACAGTGAACACCAATCCCCTGTATCCACTACCCATATTCTCCAACTAACATTTTACTGTATTTGGTTCATCACATATCCAACCCTCTAACCATACATCAATCCACCATTTTTTTGATACATTTCAAAATAACTTGCAGTTATCAGTACACATCAGCACATGAGGTAAGTGTTGATATTCACAACTTTTTACCTAAGTATTTTTTTTTTACATACCTTGAATACTCCTTTTATATATGCCAGAAAATGCAAGTGGAAAAAATTTTATCATGATGGGAAATAATCTGCTTTGATGAATAGTAACATTTTAAAAGTATATTTTTTCTTCTGCAACTCATTCCTTTATAAAAATTTATATACTTTTACCATCAGTTTTGCTGTTGGTTTGCATTTATTTTACCCAGGTTCCCCACTGCTTAAAAAAACGTTTCTTAATTATACTTACAATCAGTGGTCAGAATTTTAACTAGCTGTATTCTTTACCTTCAAAATATAGTTATCAGTGCCTTTTAAGAGGCTTTAACTATCAAAGTATAAATTGAATTGTCGATGTATTCACTATAAATTATTTTAAAAAGTAATTAACTAAAAAAAGCCTGTCAGCACAAAATGGCAATGAAAATCCTATTCATCCATTTACCACTACATGACTTTGAATCACAAAGGCTATTAGAGGGGGAAACAGAGATCCTAACATTACAAGATGTCCCATGTTTAATTTATTTTGTTAAACATTCAACTACTATCAATTTTTCTACTCTTTTTCTTATTGTTTTTTAAACCTTAAGACCAAGGTCTCGTTAGGGTGGCTAACAGTGGGATTTACACAACATATTAAAAAAATACTAAAAATTCAAAAAGCTTTCAAATTTGAAACACTGAAGAATATTTTATTATGATAAGGTTCTTGTAATATTAAAAAAAAAGCAATTATTTCTGTTGGTGACTTCTAATGATAAATCAATTAAAATGAAACATTAGGGGGCAATTTTAAAATGCCTATTATCCCTAGACTTGATCATGAGTGGTCACAAAAAAACATATTTAAAAAAAATGGAAACTAGATGGGAGATTTTCTGGTTAGGGGTCAGCAAACTTTTTCTGGAAAGGGCCAGACGGTAAATATTTAAGGCTTGTGGGACACGAAGTCTCTGTCACTACTCAAATTTGCAGCATAAAAACAATTACAAACAAAAGTTTATTTACAAAAATGGGTAGCAGACTGTGTTTGGCTCCTGGGCCCTCCTGTGCTATCCCTTGATCTAGCACAAATATTTTTAGACATGAGAAAAACAGACCCAGAAGGAGTATCTTTTCAGAGGTCATGACTAGAAATAGAGCTGGAAAGGAATTTAAATCTTATCAGTGGCAAGCAAATTGTAGGAGGTGGCATTAAAGAATCTGGTTATTGAATGTGGCTGGAAGGTAAACAATTTCAGTAGTTGTGAAAAATCTTGATGATATTAGGCATGAAGGAGTAGATCTGGAAGAGAAAAATAATATTCGAGACCAGACATTCAGGGTGAACCAGGAGGAGCTCTCCACCAAGTGGTGGACATTAGATATATTACTTAGAAGAAAACTTGAGGCTAGAAGAACTGTTTTGGTAGTAACTGGGGTATAAGTGCTAGGTGGCTGTGACAGTATGTAACAGGCAAAGCAGACAAAGAACAGTGCTAAAGATGGGCATACAAATATACAGAAAAAGATAAATTTAACCAGAAGGCTAAGATAGAAGTACAAGGAGTTGGACAAGGTCCCACAGACAGTAACATCATGGGGGCCAAGGAAGATGAACACTTAAAGGACAAAGAGGTATCTTATGACACAATGAACCCAGGCAAAAAATAAAGCTCAAAAGGTGTTCACTGCAGGTGGCCATTAAGATTTCCTTTCTGATCTTGCTGAGGTCATGAGGAGAGCAAACTGATCATAATCACCTGATACGAGTTTAGTGGAATTAAGTTTTCCTTTCAAAAAGTATTGCTAATGAGAAAGAGAACAAAGAACAAATACTTGTTAAGCATACAGCAGGTAAGAGCAGTGTGCTACATATATCACTTTTCTTTTGTCATTTGAATTTTACAGATATAATATCACCCTATTTTACACTTGAAAAACCTAAGGCTGACAGAGGTCTCAAAGTCACAATTTGTCAGTGGTAGATAGAGATACAAATGCATGTGTCACTGACTCCCTAAAACGATCTATCCAATGTTAAGGATAGAAAACAAGAGTTTTTACAAAATAATTTTTTAAAAAGTCACTTTCTTTTTCTTTCTTTCTTTCTTTTTTTTTTTTGAGACGGGGTTTCACTCTCGTTGCCCAGGCTGGAGTGCAGTGGCCGCGATCTTGGCTCACTGCAACCTCAGCCTTCCAGTTTCAAGTGATTCTCCTGCCTCAGCCTCCTGAATAGCTGGGATTACAGGTGCCTGCCACCACACCAGGCTAATTTTTTTTTTCTATTTTTAGTAGAGATGGTGTTTCACCATGTTGGCCAGGCTGGTCTCGAACTCCTGACCTCGTGATCCGCCCATATCAGCCTCCCAAAGTGCTGGGATTACAGCTGTAAGCCACCATGCCTGGCCAAAAAAAGTTACTTTCTTAAACTACACTGATTATACTATAAAAAAGAAACCTGAATTCTTTTGAATTGTATAATATATATCAAGGTTTCATAAGATCGCAAGGCTATAAATAAGTTCTGAAAGTTAAACAGACTTTTTGAAAACTTAAAAAAATCCTTGATTTAATCTACCCATATCATGGTAATTCAGCTTAATAAAAAGAATATCAACATTATTCTAAATGGGCAAAAATTGGAAGTATTCTCCTTGAGAACTGGAACAAGACAAGGATGCCCACTCTCACCACTCCTATTTGACACAGTACCAGAAATGCTAGCCACAGCAATCAGGCAAAAGAAAGAAATAAATGGCATCCAAATAGAAAAAGAAGTAGTAAAACTATCTTTCTGTGCAGATGATATGATTCTATACTTATAAAGCCCTGTAAGACAAAGGTTCCTGGAACTGATAAATGACTTTAGTAAAGTTTCAGGATACTAAATCAATATATGAAAGTAAGGGCCAGGACAGTGACTCACACTTGTAATCCCAGCACTTTGGGAGGCTGAGGTGGGCGGATCATGAGGTCAAGAGTTCGAGACCAGCCTGTCCAACATGGTGAAACCCCATCTCTACTAAAAATACAAAAAATTAGCCAGGCATGGTAGCGGACATCTATAATCCCAGGTACTTGGGAGGCTGAGGCAGGAGAATCACTTGAATCCGGGATGCAGGGGTTGCAGTGAGCAGAGATGTGCCACTGCACTCCAGCCTGAGTGATAAGAGCAAAACTCCATTGCGAAAAGCAAAATAAACAAAAAACAAAATAAGTAGCATTTCTATACACCAGTAATGTTCAAGCTGAGAGCCAAATCAAGAATACAATCCTATTTACAATAGTAACAAAAAGGTAAAATAAAATACCTAGGAATACATCTAACCAAGGAGGTGAAAGATCGCTACAGGGAGAACTACAAAACACTGCCGAGAGAAATCATAGATGACACTAATGGAAAAGCATTCCATGCTCATGGATTGGAAGAATCAATATCGTTAAAATGGCCATACTGCCCAAAACAATCTACAGATTCAATGCTATTCCCATCAAACTACCAATGTCATTTTCCACAAAACTAGAAAAAACCATTGTAAAATTCATATGGAACCAAAAGAGAGCCCATATAACCAAAGAAATCCTAAGCAAAAAGGAGAAAGCCAGAGGCATCAAATTACCTAACTTCCAACTATACTATAAGGCTGCATTAACCAAAATAGCATCATATTGGTATGAAAACAGATTCACAGACCAATGGAACAGAATAGGGAACCCAGAAATAAAGCCACACACTTAAAGCCATCTGATCTTTGTCAGAGTTGACAAAAATAAGCAATGGGGAAAGTATTCCCTATTCAATAAATAGTGCTGGGATTGCTGGCTAATCACATGCTAAAGAATGAAACTGGACCCCTATCTTTTACCATATACAAAAAGTGACTCAAGACAGACTAAAGAATTAAATGTAAGACCTCAAACTATAAAAATCCTACAAGAAAACCCAGGAAACACTATTCTGGACATTGGCCTTGAGAAAGAATCTATGACTAAGTCCTCAAAAGCAATTGAAATAAAAACAAAAATTGGTGAGACCTAATTAAAGAGCTTCTGCATAGCAAAACAAACTATCAACAGAATAAACAGACAACTTACAGAATGGGAGAAAACAGTCACAAACTATGCATCTGACAAAGGTCTACTACCCAGAATCTATAAGAAACTTAAATCAACAAGCAAAACACAAAAACAAATAACCCATTAAAAAAAAATGGGCAGAAGACATGAACAGACACTTCTCTAAAGACATAGGAGTGGCCAACAGATGAAAAAATGCTTCACATCGCTAACCATCAGAGAAATGTAATTCAACAACACACTGACATAACAGCTCACATCAGTCACAATGGCTACTAAAAAGTAAAAAAAACAACAGAGAGAGAGAGAGAGAGATTCAAGATGGCTGACTAAGAGCAGCTCAGGATTGCAGCTCCCAGTGAAAGCACAGAGAGTGAGTGGATGCCGCATTTCCAGACGGATTTTTATTGCCCACAGACCAGGAGATTCCCAGGCGGAGGAGTCCCATGGGTAACCAGCCCGACTCTTTTGGCTGGCACGGCTGTTTTGCAGGCATCCTGGCGCAGCGGTTCTCAATGCAAAATACACAGGACTGGGTGCCCTTTTAGCTGTTAAATGGAGCTCTGGGAAGGCAGAGGTGCCCATTCAGCTGATTAAAAAGGGGACTGAGACAGCAAGCCAGGCCAGGAGATTCCCAAGCAGGAAAGCTCTACGAATCTCAGCACCACTGTTTCAGCCAATGCAGTGGGTCACTGCACAGGAAATCACATAGCAGCTCTGAAGGAAGAACGGAGCCGACAGCTCAGCACAAGGGCTCCTATAAAGGACAGACTGTCTCCTTAAGGAGCTTCCTGACCCCTGTATACCCAAACAGTCACCTCACAAAGGAGAGCTCAGACTGATATTTGGCAGATATCCTTCTCAGACAAAGATAGCAGAAGAAGAAACTGGTAGTAACCCTTACTGTTCTGCAGCTGCTGCAGGTGATCCCGGCAAGCAAAGCCTGGAGTGGACCTCAGCAATTCTCCAGCAGAGGGGCCAGATTATTAGAAGGAAAACTAAGAAACAGAAATAACTTCATTATCAACAAACTGGACATCCACTCAGGGACCCAATCTGAAAGTCAGCAACTACAAAGACGACAGGTGGATAAATTCCACAAAGATGGGAAGAAACCTGCACAAAAAGGCTGAAAAAACCCGAAACCAGAATGCTTCTCCTCCTACAAGGGATCACGAATCCTCATCAGCAAGGGAACAAGGCCTCATGGAGAATGAGTGTGATGAACTGATAGAATCGGGCTTCAGAAGGTGGCTAAGAAGAAACTTCTGTGAGCTAAAAGAACATGTTCTAACCCAATGCAAAGAAACTAAGAACTTTGAAAAAAGATCTGATGAAATGCTAACGAGAACAAACAGCTTAGAGAGGAATATCAATGAATTGATGGAACTGAAAAACACAACATGAGAACTTTGCGAAGCACGTACAAGTTTTAACAGTCGAATTGACCAAGCAGAGGAAAGGATATCAGAGGTCAAAGATCAACTCAATGAAATAAAATGAGAAGGCAAGATTAGAGAAAAAAGGCTAAAAAGGAATGAACAAAGTCTCTAAGAAATATGGGACTACGTGAAAAAACCTACTCTACATGTGACAGGTGTTCCTGAATATGACAAAGAGAATGAATCCAAGCTGGAAAATATTCTTCAGGATATTATCCAGGAAAACTTCCCTAACCTAGCAATGCAGGCCAATATTCAAGTTCGGGAAATACAGAGAACACCACAAAGATATTCCTCAAGAAGAGCAACCCCAAGGCACATAATCTTCAGATTCACCAGGGTTGAAATGAAGGAGAAAATGCTAAGGGAAGCCAGAGAGAAAGGTCAGGTTACCCAAAAAGGGAGACCCATCAGACTCATAGCAGAAATCCTACAAGCCAGAAGAGTGGGGGCCAATATTCAGCATCCTTAAAGAAAAGAACTTTCAACCCAGAATTTCATATCCAGCCAAACTAAACTTCATAAGTGAAGAAAAAATAAAATCTTTGCGAACAAGCAAGCACTCAGAGATTTCATCACCACCAGGCCTGCCTTACAAGAGCTCCTGAAAGAGGCTCTACACATAGAAAGGAATAACCAGTACCAGCCACTCAAAAAACATACCAAAATGTAAAGAGCATCAACATAATGAAGAATCTGCATCAACTAATGGGCAAAACAGCCAGCTAGCTTTAAATGGCAGTATCAAAATCACACACATCGATATTAACCCTAAATGTAATTGGACTAAATGCCCCAATCAAGACACAGGCTGGCAAACTGGTTGTGGCCCCATTCTTAAAAGGCTTCCAGCTTAGTTGGGGAGATAGCAAATATGGTCAGGTAATTTTTAAATCAAAGCTAGAGAAATTTGTAACTGTAAAATGGAATGAGAAAATTGGACTTTGAAGGCTTTCGGACTAAATGTTATAGCCTTATAAAATTGCTCAATTCCTACTGAAGATTAGCCATGAATTCTGATGTGAAAGAACTCATGACTTTAGCTAAGGCATCCTATTGTCTAGCAGAAGTTTCTTCAACAAAGGAAATGTTTGATAATCTGTGCCATCCAATAAGATAGCCGCTAATTACATGTGGCCTTTGAGCCTCTGAAACGTGATTAGTGCAACTGAGAAATTAAATGTTTAATTTATATTAAATTAAAACAATCACACACACACACACACACAAAGATACTCAGCATCATAGCTCATTAGGGAAGTGCAAAATAAAATCAACTAAAGACATTACACCTTTTAAATTGCTAAAATAAAACAACTGATAATACAACAGGCTGGTGAATATGTGGGACAACTGAAGCAAAACTCCTATGTTTCTGGTGGAAATACAAAACAAGATAGTAACATTAGAAAACAGTTTTCAAAAAAAAAAAGAAAGAAAATGAAATTTTTATTTTAGATTAGCCAGGCACAGAGGTGCATGCCTGTAGTCTCAGATACTTGGTGGGGTAGCCTGAGGTGGAAGGGTGGCTTGAGGTGAGGAGTTTCAGGCTGCACTGAGCTATGATCACATCAGTGCATTTCAGCTTGGGCAATAGAGCAAAACTCCCATCCTCTCTCCGTCTTTTTTCTTTTCTTTCTTTAAAAAAAAAAAAAAAGAGAGAGAGAAAAGAGAACAGAGAACACTGGCTATTGGTGTGAATGTAAATTAGTTCGGCCACTGTATAAAGCAGTTCGGAAATTTCTCAAAGAACTTACAACTACTGCTAGACCCAGCAACGCCATTACTGGGTACATATCCAAAAGAAAAACTGTTCTATCAGAAAAGATACATGCACTGCATGTTCATCACAGCATTCTTCACAATAGCAAAGACAAGGAATCAACCTAGATGCCCATCAACAGTGGACTAGATAAAGAAAATGTGGTACATATACACCATAGAATACCATGCAGCCATTAAAAAAATTATGTTCTCTGCAGCAACAAGGATACTGCTGGAGGCCATTACCCTAAGCAAATTACTGTAAGAATAGAAAACCAAATACCACATGTTCTCACTTATAAGTGAACAGTGGGTACTCGTGGGCATAAAGATGGCAATAATACAAACTGAGGACAACTAGAGAGGGAAAGAAGGCTGCAAAACTATTGGGTACTATGCTCAGTACCTGGGTGACAAGATCATTCATACCTCAAACCTCAGCATCACACAATGTACCTAGGTAGCAAACTTGCACATGTACCCCGGAATCTAAAATAAAAGTTGGAAAAAAATATTTTAAACTGTTAATAACAGAGGTCTTCAGCAACAGAAGAATACTAAGAAGAAACAGTCACCTAATTGGCTAAATAAGATAAAATTGAGTACAAAAAAATCTAAAACTTATTTTCAAATGCTTTG